CGTAGTCAGCAAGTTTCGCCCGATCGTGTTTAAACCTGCCCGCGTGACGTCATTGCATATAATTATGACGTATGTTAATGAGTGACGTCATTACGCACCCTCACTCCACCACACTCCTCCTCACTCCTCCTCACTCCTCCTCAAAAATAAGGGTCGAAAACCACATACACTACTACTTACATTCTAATTTATAACTTTCCATGGTGGCCGTGGGCTAGACGCTGCACCTCCCCTAAATATATTTCCACCTGCCCCAGCATTTCAACCAAAATCCGGCCTTGTCGTAACGAAGTTACTCGAAGCACTGGTAACGAAGTTACTTGTAAAACTTACTGGGTCAATTCTTTCTTGCTGAATATCTCGACAGTGTACTCTAGGACTTTGTCAACGTAGTCAAAACGATCATGATAGCAATTCAATGCCAAGTTGATCAGAGAGACTTGAAGGGCAATGATATCTTCGACTGGCATGTCTTCTCTTGCCTTTTAAATGAAAATAAAATTAAAAAATAAACCTAGTACTGGCCATGTTTCCCCACAGTGGGCAAACCAGAAAACAGTGTTTTCTATAGCAATGTTTCTCGAAGGTGGAAATAAAGAAACGTTGTTTCCACAGCAAAGTCACATTTTGTAAAGAAACTATGTTTTTAAATTGCTCAGAATTTTATTATTATGATACATATAGCGCTCGTTGTGTCGACCAAAAGAGCGGGAACCTTTCCCGCCAAAAAGATGCATACTCGCATAGAATGCCTCTGATTGGCTGTGGACAGAAAATCGAGAGTTTTCATTGGGTAGCCAAACCTTTCTACACACATACGACGCTACGAGTTTCTTTACCTGTACAACGGACGATACTTGTTGTGAAAATATATCAAACAATTTGATATCTTCAGGAATGCCTTCGCCATCATCCTTGGTCGCAAATAAAGCCAATCGCGAGTGCAAAGAAATAATGATGTTCTTGACGTTCACTTCTCCATGGAGGTTGGCGCAGGCTTGAAGAAACGTCGTCAGTGTTTGTAAGTGAAACTCATCTGGGAACACCTAAACATTTAAGATAAGAACAGATTTGATAAGTTAAAACCTCGGTCAATAGAGGATGAGAGTTGATGAGCATTGCAACTCTCGCTCGCGTTTGCTCACCAACTCTCATCGACTCTCATTCAACTCTTGTTCTCGTTTGACCGGGGCAAGAGAGTTGAGAAAACTCTCATGCAAACTCTCGCTTCTTGGCAGAGGCTTTAAGCCCTGGGCAAACTAGGAAACATTGTTGCGGAAACATTGTTTCCTACCAATGTTTCGCCATGTTTCCAAGAGTGGGCAAACACTAGGAAACATTAGTGAGAAACAGAGGGAAACATCAATTGCTTCCCAGAGAATCACAAAAGTTTCCACAACAATGTTTGCCCAGGGCTTTAGTGCTACACACACTTCAGTCAGACCTTGTATGTGTCAGCTTAAAAGAGGTACGTATCTGATTAACATGGGTATAATACAATACTTTATTAACAATGAAACTCCGTTCAAGCGCAGCTAAAGTCACGGTCAAGGAGGATGAGGGTTGAGAAGCGAGATTTAGCATGAGAATTTTCAACTTTCATATCCACAGCCCCGGTCAAGCGAGAATTGATGGGAGTTGACTGGATGTTGACTCTCATCAACTCTCATCAAAATTTGAACCAAACGAACGAGAGTTGCCAATCTCATCAACGACAGGGGCTTCACCATATGAATTCCCTGTGAACAAAACCATATAGCAATTCGCGCATTTTACACTCGGATTTTCCTTGGGGGTTACGTCTGTCGTTCACTCGCCTGAATAATACATTCCATCAAGTATTCCTGAGCAATCGCGTCTCTACAGCTGACTACTTGTTCAAGAACACCTTTCAGAACAACCTAAAAATGTCAAGTAAAACATACGCAAGATGAAATTTTGAAACAAGTTCTTGACAGCCTGCCTAATGTCCTAGATAGTGTTTCACCCTATTAACCGTTAATGAAACCAACCAATAACAAAAGACATGTAACAAATTTTTTTGGGCAACCAGGGGCGGATCTATTGTGGGGGTGCAGGGAGGTGTGCCTAATGGTGTCAAACATCCCCCTAGAGAGGTCCAGAAGGCTCCCTCAAGCACCACCCCACGGAAAACCTGCACCTCTCCATGCAGATGAGGCTAGATCTGCCCCTGTTGGCAACTAAGATATATGAACAACTGACCGATTTATACAAAGCAGCATCAACTCCCTCCAACTGACTCAATCTCACAAGATTTGTCCCAACTAAAATCCTGAGTTCTTGTCGTTCCTTTTCTCTCTTGTCTTTGTCGCGGGTGTGACCTTGATGTTGCATTCTCACCCACAGCTTGTTCATCTCAGAGAAGTTCAGCAGGATAAAGTCAATCGAGTCTCTTACTGTCCCATCCAATTCTCCCTCGCTGAAGTAAAAATACACCAGTCAGGGGAAATACGGGAAAATATATAGTAGAAGGGATTTGTAGTTATATCATGTGAGATCACTGGATGCCCCAAATCCTGATATTTACGCATACATTGTACATTGCCATCACCTTAGTATATATACATGTACTCATGGTTATAGCTTGACAACTGGACTCTGTAGCTCAGGCCTAAGAAAAAATACCTGTGGTTCCGGTTCCCAAACGACCCTATTTTTTTCTGCCGACCCTATCACTGTTTCAATGTGATTGACCGTGCAACCCTATTTTCTCCGGGTGGTCGCAGGCTGCTCATACAGCTTGCCAAAATGGCATCTGTTGTCACACTAATTATTGAACCAAATTGCCTAAATTCATCCATAGGAAATACGCATCTCTAGTTAATATTTGATGTCGGGACTCTACTGCAAATCGCCCAGCAAAAAACCGCCAAAACCATGAAAAAAATATTCAAAAAAAAAATTTATTTCCGACCTACCGACCCTAATTTTTTCACGATATGAAACCGGAACCACAGGTATTTTTTTTTTACGCCTTATGCCTTTAAGTAAAATAAATTTCTGCCAGCTACAGTAGTGGAAAACCTGTCATTACCTGGCTTCACCTTCCATATCTGGCAACAAATTCCTGGTGCACTGAAGAAGGTAATTCCTCAAAAATAATCCTCGGAGCGGATGTTGAACTCCACGGCACATTTCAACAAGATCTTTCAAAATATCTTTCCTTGATGTTTCTTTTGCTTTGACGTATACTACACCAACTGTGATAAGCAAATACCTAAAGAGAGTTTTTAGAGAACATCTCTAACTGATATAACTTTGAGTGCATTGACATTTGGATACTTATTTCAGGATATATCTATTACTGCCCCCTGGTGAAAAATTCTGCATATGCATGGCCCTGTTTCAGGCATGTTTTTTCAAAAAAATACTTCCAAATAAGCAATGTATGTAATAAGTATCTTTAAATTCAATGTGTGTACTTTTTTCTCTCTCTCTTGCTTAAAAAGACACAACATCCACTACTTACAGTCGAGGCACAATGTTTCCTGCATATTGCACTAATTCATAAAGATCTGAAACTTTTCTGCCCTTCTGAAATTCATCCACCAAATGTAACTCCAAATGACGTAATTCATCAGATATGGCCATGTCTTTGAAAGCCATGGGTTAAGAACAATTTATACTTTAATAACATTGTATTAATGTTCATCTTTTCAGGATCAAGGGGAAACATTTAGCTCTAGGTAAAAAACCTGAATGGCACCTTGTCAAAACACGGTGCTAGTTCAATGTTTTCTGACGAAACTTCCAACTTTCAAACGTTAAAAAATAGCACACCTATCTGTAGCTTACCGCTGACATATATTAAGTACTATAAGCAGTACTATACCATTAGTACAATTGTTTTTAAAACAAATTTAATCTAGTAGTAAAAAAGGTCTAGTGGTAGTATAGTTTGACATATTAAAGTTATAAAAATTGGGGTTTTTTAGACGGTTTTCTGTTTTGAATTTTGACAAACCCACCAATATATGAAAAGTTAGGAACGTAAAGCTGAAGTACCATTGCATAATTTCTGTTTACATATGTAAAGGATACAAAGTTCATAATAGCTTTTTGGAGACAAAAGGGAAGTTCTCAACTCGCTCAACATATTGGATGCATGCTTCAACCCATCCATTAACTTGCTTTTGTCCTGTAATAAGAAATACTTCATTATGAGCCACTAGGACCCAATTATAACAGTTAATACTATTAGATCGAGGGCTTAAATAAGCTGTGACTTTCTTCCTAAGCCATTTAAGATGACAAGTTGGACAAAAGCTCTTTTTTGCATAGAATCAAGAATGCCAAAGTATAAATAATTTGCCATTTTTTATTTGAAAGCAAAACAACTGTTGATACCATGGTTAACAGCTGAATAATGAGCCGTTCCATAAAAGATCCATACTCCTCCCAAGGAGGAAATTTCTGCCGTCTGGAAGGGGAGGCGAGAAAAATATGTTTCAGATAATAATAAGTGTATTAGGACATTTGAAGGGGGTAGGGAGATTAACTTCCAATTTCCTCCATGGAGGAGGTATGGACGTTTTCTGGAATGACCCAACGTACATGTGATGCCCATAATTAATGAAAAAATATGCGATGTCTAACAGTGGATCCACTTTCATCAAGATGAGAGAAGATTTCGAGAAGAACACCTTCTCCTATGTGGGGAGGGGAATGAAAAAGGGAATTGGCTTATGTCCTCTTCGCTCACGTGACCTACAGATATGAGGTACGCATGTGATATCTTAGAACACATAGGGTTTCTGTATGCGCAAGGACCATATCAACTCAATGAGGATGCTCAGTGCATATTTTATGCTCCCACAATCATGAGAGAAAACTTTTTGGTATAAATTGTAGCAAATGATTGCCAAAAGATGAATGTGAACTTGCAAAATCACTCAACTCAAGCAGAATGGGATGAATTTCTTTGCATTTCCAATTTTGTCTGCCTGGTTTTGTGTAAACAGCATGGTTGTTCAGTCCAGAGATAAGGTGCCATATGTTATTACTCTACTGTAATAAGTACTAATGACCAGTAACCCAGTAATTATTCTGGAATAATAAGTAATCAATTATGCAGACATGCAGTCTCAGTTTATATTGCAAGACTGCCTGTAGTAGACTTTTACCATTAGGTTATCATGCCCAAATTATAAAGTAATAAAAAGTACTGAAAAAACAAAATATCTGATCAGATTTAAAGCCATCTAAATTGATAAATTTACACATATTCCATTTTTCATGCCAGGCAGCCAAGATGCATGCACATTTATCTTACCAAACATCGTTTCATCTGAAAAGACTGTGATTTAACGACTTGTAGTGCCTCATCTAATAACTTTTCCTGCTCGTCTTGCGAAGATAATTGCGTTGGAGGAGGCTATAAAATTCAATATATTATATACCCATCAAGAAAATATTTCGAAAAATTTCTAATAGAGGAAGTAGGTATTTATACGAAAATCATTGAAATGCACCCAAAGATATCTTACGCGATTGCTCAAATTTTACTTCTATATTAGCTTACCATAGTTAATCAATACACAGAAGGATTATTACGAAGTGTTTTTGTGTTAAAATCTTTGAAATCCTCTTTGACAGAAATTGTTTCGATTTCGTCTTTGCAAATTTGCAATTGCAAAATACACTGACCTCTATATATTACCTGAAAATTTTTAGATCATTCTTCCCCCCGGATTATTTATAAACGAACCAATCAAATCACTGCACGATAAATCTAAGCATGATGACGACACAAAATGTCAAATATGGCGGCTTTCTATGGAGTGCTAGTTTTTCTTTTAAATCTGCTAGACGTCCTAGTCGCCACATTGTTTTTATTAAAGTCAAAATGGACAATGGAATCATGGCAGAATGCAACTGCAGATTTGAAGTTTTGTACATGTACAATAGACTTATGGCTTATCGCAATTTCTCGCTTTGCTTTGATAATTGGAGCACTATTTGGTTCAAGAGCCAACCCGGTTCAAGGGCGTGCTCGTTTAAGGCTGTCTACAAGGCCTATTTTCTTCTTGTCTTTTGGTATTATTGTTTATGTTTTAATAAAGTTTCTGGCTAGTACAGAATGTGTACAGGAGCATAGTTCTAAAGTATGGCTTTGGTTGTTTTTTGGGCATACTGGGATATTTTCATTCTCTCTGACGTGGAGTTGGTGGGTTTTGAGTAAAGGGTCGTTACAACAGCCGTCGTTGGTCGTTAATGCAGATCAGGAGGTTGGTTCGGTTCTGCAACAAGATGGATCAGCATCACAATCTGATTCGGACAATGAATCTGTTGACTCTGATGACAGTTCTGGTGACAGGTTTGTATGCTGTTTTCTGGACTAACATAAGCAAAGCTTCAAATATTTTTTGACCAACATAAGATGCAAGGCTTGCAATTGTTTCCGTGCAAACATGACCAAAGCTTAGAAATTGCTAAAATTGCAAACGATTTCATAACTTTGACCATGCATCTTTTATCTCAAACTTTGACCAAATTTTACCAACTTTGACCTTCAATTGTAAGGAAATATTAGTTCCGTTTTGACCAACTTTAACAGTTTTGAATTACAGGGGGGTGTTACATCCCCCCACACCCTCCTGTAGCAACGTCCCTGGGCACTAGCTATGTGCCCTGAGCAAGTTGCAGCAGGGGTCTGGGGGCACAATTGCTAGTGGGGACAGGGTTGGGTGTAAGAGCCCCAGGAAAGATTTTTGGTTTCATTTAGTTCAAAATTCTTGTTTTTAGTCTGATTTAGTTCAAATCTGTCTATGTGTGTAACACATTATGGAAAGTACGCCACTCATAAAATTACCTATTATCCTTCTTTTTAGTGAATCTAAAAGCTCAAAAAGGAAAGTGACTATATCAAGACTCCTGTCTGTCTCCAAACCAGATGCCCACTACCTTTTACTAGCCTTTGTTTGCCTCCTATGTGCTGCAGTTGGTGAGATGTTCATTCCTTATTACACCGGACAGGTCATTGACAGCATTGCTATAGACAAGGACATTGCAAAATTTCATAGATCAATAATTATAATGGCTTTGTTATTATTCATTACTGCAGTATGCTCTGGCCTTCGAGGTGGAATATTCACGTTAGTTTTAAGCAGATTTTACATCCGAGTAAATAAACTTTTATTTGGTTCCATCATTTGTCAAGAAATTGCATTCTTTGATAAACATAGAACTGGAGATATTGTCTCACGTTTGACATCAGATACGAGCAAAATGGGGGAACAGGTCACATTAAACATTAATGTTTTTCTGAGAAATGCTGTTACAGCCCTTGGAGTGTGTGCACTAATGTTTCATATTTCATGGAAATTGACTATCATAACTTTGATAAGTATACCTGTTGTGGCAATTATCTCGGAAATGTATGGGAATTATTTTCAGAAGCTTTCTGAGAAAGTTCAGAATTCTATTGCGAAAGCCAATGAGATTGCAGAAGAAGTTATCTCTTCCATGAGGACTGTCCGGAGTTTTGCCAATGAAGATGGTGTTGCAAGAGAATACGCTGAGAAATTGGATAAGACATATTCCTTGAACAAGGTAAGAACCGAATATGGTTCATTGTTTATAATACAATTGCAATTTTGGCCTTCTAGAGGGTGGGGAAATAAAACCCAGATTAAACGAGGATGAGAGTACATGAGAGTTGGTAGTCGCACCACCTTGCATGGTTAGCTGGAAGAGGTTATTTTGCTGGCCTCAGAGTGACAAAACGTAATAAAGCAACAGTTTTACCAACACTAACCCTATTCCAAACACCAACTCTAATCCTTACCCTAATTTAACCCTACTTCAAGTTTGTTTCTAAACCTATGTTGAAGAATTTTTTTGACAAAATGTCATTCTGAGGTCAGCGAAATAACTTTTTCCTGGATTAGCTGTTCTTAATATTTTCCCAACACTATCATGTATTTTATTTAAGACTTATGACAAGTTTTTGTTGGTAGAGATGCAACTACCTGGAAAATATAAGGAGAATTTCAACGTTTCGAGTGAAGGACCTTTGTCTGGAGTCACTTTATTTCGTTAATCTAGATCAAGCTTCAAATGTCCCCTGTAACAATTTGTGACTGCCAATTTGACACAAGTCAGGCTAGCACAAGGCATGCAAAAATGTGACTCTGATGACCCGGACCCCGCCCTTGACCCAATGTTCCAGCCGTGCATGAGAAAAAATTTTCTGCCTCTTTCGTTCTTCGCCCCGCAGAAAATAACATTTCATCCTGTAATATAACATCTTCAGAAAGAGGCTTTGGTGTATGGTGGCTATACTTGGTGTAATTATGTTATGGAGGCGATCATAGACTTAACTACATTGTATTATGGTGGATTTTTGGTCATAAGAGGTGAATTAAGTGGAGGTGGTCTTGTCTCGTTTCTGTTATATTCTTTAAGTCTGGGTCAAGCTATTGAGGAAATTGGTGATGTGTATACTGGCCTGGTTGATGCCGTTGGTGCAGCAGCGAAGGTATGGTGTTAATTTATTCACATTAAATTATTTACAGATATAGAATAGTTTGTGTTGAGTTATCAAAATCAATGATAGAGTGCTCATTGGATAACCAGAGCATAATAAAGAAAGACACAAAAACTTAGCAAGCTTTGTTTAGCATATTTATTACCATAATTGCCATAACATGAAAATAACGAATTAAAATGTTAGTTACTGTACTTCATAAAATTACTTCTTTATAAGTAAAAAGTACCCTGGCAAAAATTTACTTCGTTACATGCTTCCTTATTAAAAAATAATATTCAAGTACAATAACGAAGTACATTTACTTCGTTATTGGTCACCACTGCTCCTAGGTTTGTGTCGTTCACCATTGATAGCTTTTCACTAGAGGTGTGCGTCGGATCGAAGTTTGAATCCGAAGTTTTACCTTCCAAATCTGATCCAATCCAATCCGAAATTTTTTTGTTAAATCCAATCCGATGCTAAAAATCGCAATCCGATCTGATCTAAAATATCGTAACTGTGATCTGATCTAAAAAAAAAACATATCTTACATATATAACTTCAATTATCTATCAGAGTCGGCCAGAACTTCGCAGAAATGTCAATTAGGATATATAATAATTCCTTGCATTATTAAGAGGCAATATTGGTCTTTGCGATGAAAGCTGTTCAAAACCTAAAATCTTTTTGGCATTCCTCTCAAAATTACTTTGTTTTAGCTTCATTTTGTAGTTTACATAGTTAACAACTTTTTAAAAATGTATCTGGCAGTTGAGAACATTAACTAAATATTATTAACGCCATATTTATACAGCAAAACTTACTGAACTTCAGACATCATTTTCTCTTTGGCGTACCATCTAAAATCTCTTCATTTTAGCATTATTTTACAGATAAAGCACTAAACATACTTTTTAAGTTTTTTTTGCCGTTTGAGAAATTTATCAAAAATGAAAAAAATGTATTGGAAAAGTATATACATTAGTTTTGAGCGCGTGTTACGTAACATACAAAAGATACTTTCTGTGTGTGTTGGGCATACCCAAAGGTCGCGGGTTCGATTCCCACGGTGGGCAGGCAAACTTTTCAGCTTACCCGGTGTGGATGCACACTCAGAGAAACACCACAAACATCATAGAAAAGATTCTTCTCTTAAAGGTATTTCAGTACATAGACAGAAAACCTCAAATCCCAAACGACGGAACTTCAGCACCAAGTGAAGTTTCAGGTAGAGTGGAATTCAAAAACGTTTCCTTCTCCTACCCTACGAGGTCTGACTCGGACGTTCTTAAAAACATTTCATTTGTGGTCGAACCTGGCGAAATGGTGGCGCTTGTTGGCTCGAGCGGTGCGGGGAAAAGCACTTGTATCAATTTGTTGCAACATTTTTACGAACCGAACGAAGGAGACGTTCTAATTGATGGAATTCCGGTGAAAGAACTTGATCACAAAATTTTGCACCGCAAGGTTGCATTGGTAGGACAAGAACCTGTGTTATTTGCTAGGAACTTGAAGGAAAACATCGCTTATAATTTTGAGTCAGGCTGCTCCACGGGGACTGAGCTTGATGGATTAGTAACAGACGCAGCAAAGCTGGCAAATGCTCATGATTTTATTACGGAATTAGCGCAGGGTTATAACACACAGGCAGGAGAAAAAGGTCAACAGCTTTCTGGCGGGCAAAAGCAACGGATTGCCATCGCAAGAGCTCTAATACGCAAACCCTCCGTGGTGTTGTTTGACGAGGCCACGAGTGCGTTAGATGCTGAAAGTGAATACAAGATTCAAGAAGCAATGTTTCGAAATTTGGGTGGAAGGACAGTGATTGTGGTTGCGCATAGGTTTAGTACAATAGAAAAGGCGAACAGGATTATTGTAATGGATAAAGGGCAGATTGTCGAGGTCGGGAATCATGCTGAATTAATGGCTAATGGAGGAACGTATGCAAAGTTGGTTAGACACCAGTTAGTGAAGACGGAAGGTTCTGAGGAGGATGACAGTTCAAGTGAATAGGACAGGACGGATTGATCTTGATCAACTTGTTCGTGTAATTTCCATATGTCAGATGATACACCAGATCCGGATATATCATTGATCATGGCTAAAAATAGCCAAGGAATTAGGCCTGACATTCATTGAAAATGGGCCTGGCATTCATGTTACCCCAGGGTTACTATCACTGATCTATTAGATCAGTGGCTACTGTACGTTGAGTAGCCGAGGTTTTATATTTACCTGATCTCAGGATAAAAACTTCTTGTTGAAAACCACTTCAGTTTTTCGTAATATGTTATAATTCAACTAATGATCTTGATATGGCATTTTAATTTAAAAAGCCTTTTTCATCTACGGTATATACTTTGTAACTGATATTTGTGGTGTTACTCTGAGTGTATATCCACACCGGGCGAGCTTGAAAAATATGCCCGGCCACGGTGGGATTCGAACCTACGACCTTTGGAATACTAGCCCAATGCTCTTCCAACTGAGATACACGGTCAGGACGGTTCGAGCTACACGGTCAGGACGATCACTGAGCTCAGTTGGAAGAGCATTGGGCTAGTATTCCAAAGGTCGTAGGTTCGAATCCCACCGTGGCCGGGCATATTTTTCAAGCTCGCCCGGTGTGGATATACACTCAGAGTAACACCACAAATATCATATTCACCTGAGTACACTACACCAACACAGAAAAAAAACATATTACTAGAATACATTGGTATCGAAGGAACTAGATTCTGTTCCGAAATGTCACTTACTCGAACCGTCCTGACCGCGTAGCTCAGTTGGAAGAGCATTGGGCTAGTATTCCAAAGGTCGTAGGTTCGAATCCCACCGTGGCCGGGCATATTTTTCAAGCTCGCCCGGTGTGGATATACACTCAGAGTAACACCACAAATATCATATTCACCTGAGTACACTACACCAACACGGAAAAAATTCATATTACTAGAATACATTGGTATCGAAAGAACTAGATTCTGTTCCGAAATATCACTTACTCGAACCGTCCTGACCGCGTAGCTCAGTTGGAAGAGCATTGGGCTAGTATTCCAAAGGTCGTAGGTTCGAATCCCACCGTGGCCGGGCATATTTTTCAAGCTCGCCCGGTGTGGATATACACTCAGAGTAACACCACAAATATCATATTCACCTGAGTACACTACACCAACACAGAAAAAATTTACTTTGTAACTGTTTTTTATTAACATTTTATTTAGACATTTTGTATATATATTAAGATATATATATATATATATATATATATATATATATATATATATATATATATATATATATATATATATATATATATATATATATATATATATATATATATATATATATATATATATATATATAACTACAGACGGTACCGTTTCGGCCTAATGGGCCTCATCAGTGTAGTGCTGATGAGCAGGATGAAAGTAACTCTTATTTATAGTTACCTTTGATGCCTCACAATTGTGGGACATCAAAACCATGCCAGAGCGCTCAAACTGCAAGCAGTGAGCGTGCGCAATGCGTAAGCGGCATGGCTCATCCTGTAGAGCGCTCAATATGACCTAAAGGCCATAGAGCGATATCTAACTACAGACGGTACCGTTTCGGCCTAATGGGCCTCATCAGTGTAGTGCTGATGAGCAGGATGAAAGTAACTCTTATTTATAGTTACCTTTGATGCCTCACGATTGTGGGACATCAAAACCATGCCATATATATATATATATTAAGATATATATATTAAGATATATATATTAAGATATATATATATATATATTAAGATTTACATTTGCGGCTGACCGTAAAACAGCAAACTTCAAATTGCATTTGAAGGAAAGTTCTACGACTAAGTAGCTAATACATGCTTCAATTTTAATGTACAAATTGTCCTAACTTAGCGAACAGTTGACTTCAAAATTAGCTGTCTCCGTAAACGTCGATCTTAAGTTCTTTATTATATACAAATTATCTCTAATCCTTATATATTTAGCCTAGTTTCTAAATAGCATTACTATACTTATATTTAATTAACACTGTAAAGTTTTTTGTAGTTTAGCAGGACCCTACTAAAAAACACATTATTGTGACGTAGGCTTCCTGATTAAAAATTGCTTGAATTGAATCTTTTTCCCTAATTTCCGTCCGAACACCGATTGGTTTGTAACGCTATTATAGAAATTAGCAAAGTCATAAGTATCTCCAAAATCCGAAATGTTGTCTGAAAAGCCCACCACGACCAACTGTCAGTGTATTCAGCATCAGACAACACGCTGCTCTCTCCAAATATCACAGCGTATAAACTCACGCCAAATATACACAGACCCAAAGAGGACGACGCATAACACTTGATTATTAGCCATTTAAGTTTCACTGGATGTTGTTGTTGCGTTTTTGAGTTCGATTCGATATCTTCGAAGGTCGCTGTTAAATTTTTTCGAGTCCTGTGGGCAGCTATGAAATATCCAATCGTAATGACCACTCCTCAAAGTAAAAGTGTAACTTGGCATAGAAGCAATAACACTTTAGCAGAGCCGTTGAATGCGACAATGATATCAGCCATAAGCACAAATATAAAGGTACCTGCTGTTATTATAATCAATACTGTAAGATTTTGAAATTTTGGTGGGGCCAGATTAAGTTTGGTTGCATCTAGGAATATGAGTAAAAGTACTCCGAAGGCAGAGATCAGTCCAGCTGTACCTAGAGACCAGGCTGTGATTGTAATAACCAGTGTGGTTTGAATGTTAGAATTTGAACCATAGGGGTTTAGAAATAGGACAAGACATCTCGAAAGTGCTTGGATAAGCAGCTGGAAGCTCAGCATTATAAAAGGTGCTCGTTTATGTCCGTCGTTTCGCCGGTAAATTGATTGTGCGAAGAAGAATAGGAAATATGCTCCGGCGATCGTCCAAATACTTGCAAAGAGGTAGACGTGTATTGGCCAAAATACCCCCCAAGTTGACTTCGCCTCTGGCCAATTTGGGCCTGGCTCGGGCCAAGAAGGTTTTGCCATTTTGTCTTCTGAGCTAGCCTTCTTAGCTACAAATGAAAAATATAAAAGAGAATGATTAAGTGGAGGCAATTGCCAGCATATTTGACAATAACACCTGACGAGATATATTATTAATTGATAGCTGCATGACAAATTGGAACCGACATCGTACGTGATATTTTAAACGACAGATGACAAACGACGACGCAATAATTTTGTAACTGACAATGAATGATTCCGGTTATCGAATAATTTTTTATCTAGACAAGAAAGATGGTATCTATTATTATAGCTAAAAAAAAAGAGCATCCTAATTCCTAAAATTAGTAAAATTGCACTAGTTTGATTGCGAAATGTTGTAAAATACGAAAAACATAGCCCTGTGAAATTAGCAAAAGTGGTGCATTTTTCCGCGCGTAATACTATATAAAATAGTCAAAATTTGCTAATTTTACAGGGCTATACACCCTTTTCATAAATGGCTGCCGATTAAAAATTCTTTTATGTGCATATAAATTGGCCCAACTAGCCTCGTACTCATGTTAAGATTTCAAAGGAATTTCTACCCAGAAACGAGGCTAGTTGGGCCAATTTATATGCACATAAAAGAATTTTTAATCGGCAGCCATTTATGAAAAGGGTGTATATATTTTGAATTATATTCCGTATTTTACAACATTTTGCAACCAAATTTGGCAATTTTACTGATTTAAGGATGTTCTTTTAAGCTATAATGATAGATTTTGTCCTTTTTGTCTGCATCAAAATTTTGTCTATAGCCGATAGGAGTATATATTAGCTAGAATCAACTGGCTTGAAATTTTAGCTGAAAACGGACATCCAGTTTACAAGAGCTAAAAGTTAAATGTTAAGATGGCCGCTACAGACGAGCAAGTTTTTTATGACAAGTTTTTATATGGCAAGTTTTCTCATACATTGCACGTGTTATACTTACAAGAAAGTTTCTACGACAGGTTTTTTGTTTTCTGACCGCCATGACGATAGTTATTATTATCCATTACAACAATAGATCGCTGACTAGGGGCCGTGGAACCGAGGGGCAATGGGGGCATGTACTCCCCCCCCCCCACACTTTTTTAACAGTGAAAAAGTGCCTTTTTTCTGGGCTAGAAAGAAAGTGCCTTTTTTGCAGTAGTAAAAACTCTGTAAAGGCCATTTCCGATGTTATAGAGACTCCCTATTTTCAAAAATTTTTGTTCAGCTCATGAACGACATAAAATCGTTTGATTTTGATCATATACAACAGTGCCCTTATCATATACAAAAGTGCCCCTTTTGGCCGCTCACCAACAGCGTGCAAGTGCTCCAATTACTTTGCCAATTTTCTTTGTTGACCCATACAGACGAACAAAATTTGTACTTTGCCAATTTTTTCTACGACATGTGCTCTTGTTCAACAGCTACCATACTAACTTTAAGTGTACTTGTCGTAGTAAAAGTTGGCAAATTTACCTGCACAGACGAGCAAATAAAACTTTTAATAAGAAAACTTGACATAGAAAACTTGCTCGTCTGTAACCGGCTTTACATGCCACGCAATTAATTGACATATAATTTAAATACTTATGTACCTTTGTTCCATTCTGTATGCTCACAATCAGATCAGAACAGCGCGGATACCCAGGCATGTGAATTGGATGCCAACGGTCATGGGTTTTATGTTTTCTAATTTTGTTATCGAAGAACACACTAACTTCTTTCAACTTTTATAATATACATTTTGTCAATAGCCCACCAGGGAAAGTGATCATTTATCATCCGTTGTACGCTATTACCTGTACGTATATAACCACCTGCTCATATGGGCACAGTTTTATTTGACGATGCAATATTAATCTGTCATAAAACAGGGATATTAAAAAATCTAACCTTCTCAGACGATTTAGTTTTGGAAAACTTTCCTTATACTCGAAACTCTGAAATTTGAAAATGCTATAGTAAAATCATAATTTTGATTTTTTTTTTTGTTGACAAACCACATTGATGCGTTATCTCGAAGCACGAAGTAGTACGCTTAACGCGCTGGAACGATCACCTGCTGATTTCGTGAATCGAGCGTTATCAACTACGACTCATCCATGCAGAGCATTGCATGGGGATGGTTGATTTGATATTTATTTTGATACCTGTTCTACAGTTGATAGAGTGTACATATTTAGTTACTAGGACAACAGAAACTTTATGTTTTGGCTCAACATTTCTTCATTGGACAAATGGACCTATTCCCTAATGAACAAAATTTTGATCTAGACAAGTCTAGACAAAAATTTCATCACAGCTTGAAAGAGCATCACAAAATTAGTAATATTCCAAAGTTTCGTTGCGAAATGTACAACATGTACAAAATGCGGATAATATAGCCCTGCGAAGTTTGCCGTTTTTCAGTCATTTTGTATTACGCGCGGGAAATTGATACCTTTTTTCAGAAAGCGGTATCAATTTCCCGTGCGTAATACAAAATAGAGAGTTTAAGCTTCGCGTTATACGGCAAACGGCAAACGCCAGGCAAAGAAAAAATTTACGGTATCAGGCAATAAAGAGAAAATGAACTTGCTGTTTTAAAACTGCAATGCATGACTATTCTTTCGACACAAGAAAGAAAATATGAAACTAAAACGTTTAACGAAAATTTTGCGAAGAAAGTTCGAACCTGCCGTTTGCCGTTCCCGGAAACGCGAAGCTTAAAACTCCCTAATGACTGAAAAATGGCAAACTTCGCATGGCTATAATATTATCCGCATTGTACAACATTTCGCAACGAAACTTCGGAATATTACTAATTTTGTGATGCTCTTTCAAGCTGTGATGAAATGTTTGTCTGGATTTGTCTAGATCAAAATTTTCTTTATTAGGGAATAGGTCCATTGTATCGCTAACCTTTTGTTTATACTCATGCAATTCTCATATATATTTAGATCACTCGCATGCCTATAGTTGCTATTGTTCTAGTCTATAAAAGCATAGAATAGAACGAAGGTAACTAAGCTTTAGAATTATCTACATGAGTGAAGAATATCTCTTATGTAATTTATCTAGACAAGAAAGACGAGATATATCATTATAGCTCAAAAGAGCATCCTAAAATTAGTAAAATTGCAAAGTTTGGTTGCGAAATGTTGTAAAATACGGAAATATACGGTATAGCCATGTGAAATTAGCGAATTTTCCGTATTTTAGTATTACGCGCGGTAAAAATAACCATTTTTGAGACGAAAGTGGTTATTTTTACCGCACGTAATACTAAAATACTGAAAATTTGCTAATTTCACAGGGCTATATTTCCGTATTTTACAACATTTCGCAACCAAACTTTGCAATTTTACTAATTTTAGGATGCTCTTTTGAGCTGTAATGATAGATCTCGTCCTTCTTGTCTAGATAAAAAGTTATAGTCCTTCCGTTGTTCTATTGTATGCTCATGTAAACTATAGAACAATCGTATAACTAGGAATTTAAGTTATCCAAAGTTCTGAACTGCTTGGCAACGATGTAAACAACGTTAGGCCACATTTGTCTGTTTCATCATTGGCCACAAAATGGATTACGTCATTTTTATGAATTCTGTCATTTTTCACCAAAATTATTTAAATAATGGTCCACGACTAACCGTGAATGGGTCTTAAAAGAGATTTTAAAAGTGTATACAAAATCATCGACGAGTGTTCTATATTTTAGCATATAGAACTTGGTCACAATAATAATACTCATCCACTTTCCCTTGTTCGTTTAAACACAGAAAGTAATACAGGGGTAATTTGAAAATAGTTTAAAGTCTAAAGATGAAAGAATACGTTTGTTACCTATTTTGAAAAAGGCCAATTTTCTTTGCCCCAGCAACTTAACATTCATTAGAACGTCTTGTTATTGGATAAAATCATTATTCCCACGAAAAATGATCAGACATTACTTCGCCATTTCATCGGAAGAAGACGATGTATAGTACTTGAATGCGCTGGAGCGGTAACCCGTTCTTTTCCTAATACTACGTGCATCATACAACGCATGCATGTTTGTTTCTCCACCTGTTCGAGTTGATAACATGTGCATATCAATTGGGTTTGACGCACACGAAAGTAACCCCCTTTTTGCGTGTAATCAGAAATTGGAGCATGCTATGAATTATGAAAAATCATTCGTACTTATAGAAGATACAGTAAGGCGAGTCTGGATGAATTTGCAGGGACAATGGACCTATTCCCCCTAATGAACAAAATCTTGATCTAGATAAGACGTCTAGACAAAAATTTCATCACAGCTTGAAAAATTTAGGACTAAACCGAGTTGACGAAATTCGCGAGGCCCTCTCACGCGGGAAGACCTGGGACTAGGCTAGGTCGAAGCCATTCTCGAGCTCGTTCCCAGGGCTTCTCGGCCTTGTAATGAAGATATTTCGATATGCATTGACAGTTCGGGTAAAGGTTACTTTATGAATTTAGGACTAAACCGAGTTGACGAATTTCGCGAGGCCTTCTCGCGCGGCTCAAAACCGATCCAGTCACGCGAGAAGGCCTGGGACTAGGCTAGGTCGAACGAAAAGTTCCGCTTTTGCTTTATACGCACGAAAGAAAATGTAGTCGTTTTTAGAAGTTCCGCTTTGCGTAGCCATCACAACTGAATTTTAATTTATCACTTAATTTCTAAAATTAACTGAACAATATTTTTGAACGACCTTATTTTTGAATAAGGGAAGTTTTTCATCAATTCAGTGTCGAAAGTGAAGTTTTTTTTGATTGTTAGTCGTCTTCTGAAGTTACTTTTCGGGAACAGCTTTTTTAGTAGAAATCTTCAAACTTGCGAGCTTACGTCAGACACGGCGTAGATTAAAAGAAAACCGTGTTGTCTGTTGACGTTAGCATTGATGTTTTGTCTGCCTGAAGAACGAGCTCTTTGTCAAGAGAGCTTGTTCTCGATTAGTGACCGCCTTTGTAACCTTGCTGAAAAAGTGTTTATCTACACCCAGGCATCAAGGACACACTTTCGCAAACTCTCGCCAGCGGTACATGTGTTGTTCATCAAAAACATCGCTGTAAAGGCTAAGCCTGAAACAGCAGCATGGCGGCCGATCGCTGTCATTCATTTTTTTGTTAATATTTGAAATAAAATAAAACAAAACGTAAATGTCATTTAAAATGTAATCTTTTTTCAAAACAAAATTAAATTAAAAAACAATTTCAAGTAAATGGAAATCAAAATGGAAGAAACCAGTAAAGTAAAAGGATATCAGTTTCGCGCCGACGTTTTGCCCCATTAGGGCATATATGCATGTATGCCCCCTATATAGGATATGGTGAAATCTACAATCTCTCAAATGGCAATTTTGGCCGGTTTGGAGTGCTGCTTTAAGCTTTGTGCAACATTAGACAGTTAGTCAACTAAAGGATAATATTAATACGATTACACCGTTTAATAATTTTTCAACATCCTGCATCATGGACACAAAACCACAGACTGAATTGTGAAATTTAGATTATGTGTTATTTCCGTATAGTCAATGTTGAATGCAAACATAGCAAGGTTAAAAACGTTTTATTCGTTGTTGACAAAAACACATTCACATTTCAATTTACATGCAAGGACACTTCTATTCGCAAGCATTTTGCGTCAAAATACACGCTTGTCGGGCTTCGTTGCGCAGTGATCAGAGAAAGCGCATTGCTGATTCGATTATTATATAATGGCACTTATGTGAAAAGAGTCCGTCAACGGTCTGTCTAAAATCGTGGGTTAATTTTCTCTGGGTATTCCTCCCACGAAGAATGATTACAGGGTGGATTGAGATAATCTTATCTATAACCCTTGCATCGTGATTGTGCTCCGTGATCATGCATGGCATGAGTCATAGAAGAGGCGCGTCCTTAGAAAGCCTTCTGCAAACCCTTCCATCGTGGTTGTGCTCCGTGATCATGCATGGCATGCGTCATATAAGAGGCGCCCTTAGAAAGCCTTCTGCAAACCCTTGCATCGTGGTTGTGCATGTTCCGTGATCGTGCATGGCATGCGTCATATAAGAGACGCCCTTAGAAAGCCTTCTGCAAACCCTTGCATCGTGGTTGTGCTCCGTGATCATGGCATGAGTCATATAAGAGGCGCCCTTAGAAAGCCTTCTGCAAACCCTTGCATCGTGGTTGTGCTCCGTGATCATGGCATGAGTCATATAAGAGGCGCCCTTAGAAAGCATGCTTGATCAGCTTAAGCCGCGTCCAATTTAGCTGTCATGCGTCTGCAAGTAAGGATGATTGGCACACCCCGCTTGTTTATATATACTTACTGTCTAAGAGATGCATGTCTGTCTCAGAGCGTTTCTAAACACATGTATAATTAAATGCACTATTGACTGATGTCTCCATTAAATCGTGAGGCATACATTATGGGAAGAGCTATTGTAGGGCAAGTGAAAAGTACTATACGATACTTAATGAATAATGCACAAAATTTAGAGTTAGCTATATTATATAAGGAGATTTTGTTGGCATCTCACTCAATTGAATAATAGTTGAAGGGTCTTGTAGATGAAATTATCAATGGAAATGTATATACATTTATTAACGTAATTCCGCAGTTTTGCATTGCGCACTTTTACTGCGCACATCTTATAACTTATAATTTCATCCATTATACGTACCGTTTAAAACAAAATATCATTTTATGATAATTTTATGTTACTTCAAAACATCTTTGGTGACATTCGTGCAAAGAATTACATTAAAATCAATGATTTCAAAACTGGCATACAAAAGTGTAGCTAGGGTTAACTGTGTCTGTAGTATATTTATTTACTTGTATTTCACGTTTTAATGCCACAATTCCCTAAAAAGATCGGTGACCCCCGTTTTTTAACTGATAATTTATTTCTTTAATGCATTTTACATTTCATATCCGAAATTAAAAGAAAAATCATTTCTGGACTTGAAAAAAAATCCTTTATCAATGCATGTTCTCAAAGAAAGATATGTAAAGAAATGTGGAAAAGACATTTGTGGATCAGAATTGTACACGTTAGTAGTTTCATTTTGCTCAAAACACAATATTTTTCAAAAATAATTACAAGATAGGTTTACTAAAGCAAAATCCACGCTAAAAACGTCAATAAATATCGGGCTGTTGTGATTTTGCTGTTACTCGTAATGAGCGTCAAGATGGCGCCATATTGGGGGTAATGGTGGTATATTGTGATTGCCATATGTTCTTAACGAGTTCGGTGACCCCAACTTTTTTGTGTGATTTTACTTTAAGTATATCATAAACTCCATGCCTGGGAAGTTTCAGCACATTCTCATTTCGGGAACAATTACTGCGGAATTACCTTAAAGCCATAAAAAATGTTGATGGTTTGTGCTGAGGGAAGATGTGGTTATTTAAATTTGTTCAAGTAAGCGTAAGATATCTATTCAGAATGTGAAAACATAACGCGAAATTCTCTTTCTCTGTCGTTTATCTTCGTCAAGTAGCAGCCATATTTGTTATGGTAGACACGTCGAGGGTGGAACAAACGCGCGAGCCAATCATATCAAAAGACAAGGAAAGAACAAATTAATTACCCCCCTACCCTTCACCCCCCCCCCCCTTCGGAAAAGATTTGTTGACCGTTATACATTACGAATTCTACGCCATGAAAAAATGAGTGAACCGACGTCATTTATTACAGACTATATTACGAATGTCTAAGAAAAGGGGACGCGTTCCCAAGTCACCCTCCCCCCCCCCACCATCTCCACCGGACTAGCGCTTGCTTTCAGGACAATCAAGAAATCTAATCAGTATGCATGTGTTTCTTTGATGCAAAGGAGGGGGGTTGAAAAGGAACATTTTAATAAATTTCTTCTTCCTTAGAGACGGGAGGTTTTACGATGAAATAGCTAACCTGCACCAAGAGCGAATATCATGCGTCTCTTTGGTTCTTCATTGACAATTTTTACAATCTTTTTTGCCATTTTTCTGTTTCTCTTAAAGAACAACTCTTCCTTCATGTATTCTTCGAACTCTCTCGTCTGTTCCTTTTGTAAGCTGTTTGTTTCAGAAATGTTCTCAAGGTTGGCAATGCCTGATGTTACTTGTGAAAAGAGAACGTCTTTTAGATTACCACAGTTGTAATGATAGATCAGTTGCTTGGTGGAAAATGGCAGATTTTCTTCGCCGCGACGTATTTTTTCGTGCAATATCAAGGTTTGGTTGAGAGCAAGGATTACCTATATTGAGATGATACAATATTTAAAGTTCTCCGGATTGAAATATACTTTTATTGAGCTTTCGACTCGGTACTTCGAGCCGAACTACCGAGTCGAAAGATACAGCTTAATCTCACCAAATATAATTTCATTGGCAAATGTTTGAATCCACCCACGCCCCCCCCCCCCCTTAAAGTATTGTCTAGGCATTT